AATATCGCAACCCTACATTTTACAGGGTTGAAATGTTTGGGCCCTATTTATTACATTGTGGCAGGATTTTGGGATAGTCCAGTATTTGCTTAGGAAATCATCCATTTCCTCTAGATTTTCAATTTTGTTGCCATGGAATTGCATGTAATCTCTTAGGATTTTTTTCAGTCTTTTCCATTTTCATGGATACATATCCATTCTGTTCCCAATAACTGAACTTTTGTTTTCTCTTTTTATTAATTAGACTTGCCATGTGTTTATTTTATTTCATTTTTCAAAGAAAACTTGTCCTTTCCAACAAAACTGTTTGTCTCGCTTATTTTATGTTTAATCTGTATTAAATCCTTCTTCCTACTGGTTTATATTGTTGATTTTCTTAAATTGAGTCATGTAGTTCACTTACTTTTCAGTCTTTCAATTTTTCATGTAGGACTACAGATTACCTAAATACAGATCCCACATAAAGTGTAATTTTTATTACTTTCTAGATTTGTAGTATCAGTTTTGATTTCCTCTTTGATCTAGGGGTCATTTAGGAGTTTTTTTGATTTCCAAGTAGGGTCTCTCCCCTTTGGTAATTTTATTATTTATTTGCATGTTATTTTATTACAATCAAAGAACATGGCCTGCAAAACCTCTATGTTGGAGAATTTGTTAAGGATTTCTCAGTGGCCAATAAATCAACTTTCATAAATGTTCTATCACATAAGAAGTGAATGTTGACTTTATTCAAATACTCTGTTTTTGCTTTTTGTCAACTCGATATTTGTAGAAATTCTGGAAGAGTATTGAAACCCCCTACTAAAATCGCTTCTCAGCCTTTTGGCTAAGATCAAGTGAAACCCCCTACTATTGATGGTTTTTTTTTTTTTCCTTTTTGTCTTTTTTCGTGACCGGCATCGAATCGCAACCCTCAGTGTCGCGCCCGCACCGGACCGGGACCGGCAATGGGATCGCAACCCTCGGTGTTGCGCCCGCAGCTCGCTCAGCCAGTGAGCGGCCGGTCTGTATGTGGGATCCGAACCCTCGGTGGGAGCGCCGCCGCGCTTCCCAAGCAGCGCACTGTAGCAGTGCACCACCAGGCCGGCCCCCTATTGATGGTTTTTGATAAGGGTATTATTAGTTCTGGGAGGTTTGGTTTCACGTGTCTGGCTACTGTGGTGTTTGGTACATATCTTCTCAAGGAGTGAACCTGTTATCATTATAAAATATCCATCTTTGTCCAACTTAATGCTTTCTATGTCACATTTGGCTTGGCCTAGATCTATAGTGTTGCTCTTTCTTTCTGTTTTCTTGGTACATGGTATGTGGCTCATCCTTTTATTTTTAGACTTTGTCATTTTTAGATGTAGTTAGATTTTGTTTTCTAACTCAATTCGATAGTCTGTTTTGGCAGGGAAATTTGGCACACATTTTTTTTTTGAAGTAACTGGTATCTGATTTTATTCTTTTTGTATTACTTCCATTGTATTTATTACATTTTATAGTTTGTTTCTGCTTTTCCTTTCTTTCTTACTTTTGTGGGCTTCTAGGTTTCTCTTCATTTTCTGCTTTCCCGTCGTTAATTTGGGCACCATGCTGTCAGTTTGCAGGTGGCTGCCCTCGCCCTGGCACTGCAGATGGAGCCCTGCCACTCCCTGCCGTCTGTGCCCGTGCTGCTTTCCGCCCCCGCCGGCCGCCCCTTGCCCCAGAGGAGACCTTTAGATACTTTTATCTCCCTCGTCTCACTTGGAATGTAGACATCTCACAGCATATTTGTGTATCTTTTTTAAAAATCAAAGCTGTTTAGGATTTGGTGGGCTTTTCCGATGGGCTGGTTCAAACCTCTTTCAGATTACAGAAGTTTTCCTTTATTATCCCCCTGACCCCTCTGTAGCTTTTTCTCCTCCTGGAACTTCTATTATTCACATTAGGTCTCCTGGATATATTTTCAACTCTCTTCCCCCCATGATTTCTATTTCTTGGCTTTTTTCCCTCTTTGTTCTGAGATATATCTTCTACTTAATATTCCACATTACTAGTTTGGCCACTGCCGAGAGGCATCCTATCTTGCCTGGGCCAGTGCCTGAGCTTTCGTTATTGTTGGGGTTTGTTTTTTTTTTTCAATAAAGATGACCGGTCAGGGGATCTTAACCCTTAACTTTGTGTTGTCAGCTCCACGCTCACCCAGTGAGCCAACCGGCCATCCCTATATAGGATCCGAACCTGTGGCCTTGGTGTCATCAGCACCGCACTCTCTCAAGTGAGCCACTGGCCAGCCCTCATTATTTTTTTTTGTAAATTTTGTTCCATTAGCTGCTACTTCAGTGAGATCTGCCTACTTGAGAGAGTGGAATTCCCTCCCCTGACCCTCCTCAGGTGAGGGTTCCCCCTTCTATATTGCAGCTGGTTGCCCTTGGGTTGTTTCCTTCCGGAGCAGGAGCCGAGGGGCGAGTGGTAGGAGGCCCGGCGGTTCCTGCCCTCCTGGGTCAGGGGTGAGAACTGCAAACCCTCAGCCCTTTGCTGCAGCGGGGGTGGCAGAGAGGGGCTGTGTGCTGGTCTCGCTGACTCCCGACTCAGCATCCCTCCTCCAGCCAGATGCCCCTCCTAGGACTCTGAGCAAGAGGGTACAGCCCCTTCCCAGGAGACTCTTAGTTAACTGAACTATTTTTTGTTTTGCGGGGGGAGGGTAGGATTTTTCTTTTGTGTGTGTGTATGTATATGTGTGTGTGTTCTTTCAAGAAAGCATGAAATTCTGATCTTTGCTCCAGGTTTCAGGGCTGCTGCCCAGTTTTGCAGGTTGCTAACTGTGCAAGGCCATATGGCTAAGCAGATGCTCCTTCCCCTGGCCAGGCTATATATACTTTGGGGTAACTTGCACAAAGATACTTTCTTGTTGTCAGGAAGAAATGCAGGGCTGCATTCCACCTGCATGGTTCCTTTCCCATCAAGGCTCTGGTAGTGGCTGCCCTACCAGCCTCCAGGGGCTTCCTTCCCTCCTGTGCTGCTCTCCCTTGGCTCTCTTCTGTCACTAAGGGGAGCCTAATTCTGGTCCTGTCTTCTTCCTGAAACCCAGAGTAGAACGTGCAGCCTCAGATGCTCCTACCCTCCGAGCAGGCTCACCTGGCTGTTGTGCGACTCCAAAGAAGGGGTTGGGATCAAGAGAGGAGAAGTGGGCACTTGCTCTCAGGTGACATCAGCCAGGCATTCAGTATATAAAAACACTAGTTTATTTAAAATTTCCTTCTAGATTTTTACTTAATTTTTTTAAAAATGGGAATGTACAGTAAAACAAAAGAGGCAGGAAATAAAGTCTCAAATCTCAGTACCCAGAAGCAGCTTTTGATAATTCTTTACATCTTTCTGACCTCAAAGGTTTAAAAACATTTTTGAATAGGTAATACATGCACACATGATACAAAATTCAAAAGGTACAAAAGGTATCCATTTCCTTCCTCTCGCCCCATCCTCTTCCTCAGAGATAATCTCTATTACCAGAGACATCCTATATGTTTACACACACATGTGAAACGCCGCAGACCCCTGACATTTTCATAAGCTTTCTCTACACCCCAGCAGGAGCAGCTCAGGCTGGGGGCAGGGAGTAGCTAAAGGGAAAAAATTTGCTTAATTTTGGGCCGGCCCGTAGCTCACTCGGGAGAGTGTGGTGCTGATAACACCAAGGCCCCAGGTTCGGATCCCATATAGGGATGGCCGGTTCGCTCACTGGCTGAGCGTGGTGCTGACAACACCAAGTCAAGGGTTAAGATCCCCTTACCGGTCATCTTTAAAAAAAAAAAAAAAAAAAATTGCTTAATTTTTTTCCTGATGGGCTGAATTCCTGGGAATAACCATAAGGCTAGGCTGACAATAAGGTAAGAACAAAGTTAAACGTGTGTCTCCCTAAGGCTACACAAGGTCCCAGGGCCACCAGATGTTTGTCCCTCAGTAAATGGCTGAAGAAAGTATCAGAACAACCATCTGAGGTATTTTGCAGGAACTGCTATCAACAGGAAGCCTCCTTTGAAGCAGTATCCTCCAGACCTGAAGGGGTCAAGGAGGACATGAGTCACGATGCCAGGGGTAGCTGTGCCAACTGCAACCCAAACCAATCAGACTCCCACGTGACTCCCGGGACCCCCACTCATGATTTCGCTCTGTAAATGCTTGTGATTTTAAGTTATCTAGGAGTTCGAGGTCTTCAAGCTCCTTTATCTGCCTCAGTCTCCTTGACTGGCCATTCAAAAATAAATGCTGTTCTCTGTCACTGCAAACACTGGTGTGAGAGACTTTTTAGTCATTTGGCATGGCGGACAACGAACTGCCCTCTTGGTTCAGTAACATGTATGTGTAAACGTAATTTTTTTTCTCACAAATGTTGCATTCTCTAACACAGTTCTGCATTTTGCTTTTTTCTTGGAGATCTTTCCGAATCAGTGTATTGCCTTTTTAAATAGTTTTATGGTATTCTACTTTTCTGGTACACCCACAATTTATTTAAACAATCCTTAACTGATGGACATTTGGACTGGTTCAGTATTTTACTATTATAAACAGTGTTTCTTTTTTTTTTGACCGGTAAGGGGATCACAACCCTCGGCATGGTGTCGCCCGCACCGCGCTCAGCCAGTGAGTGCACCGGCCATCCCTATATAGGATCCAAACCCGCGGCGTCGGCGCTACCAGTGCCGCAATCTCCTGAGTGAGTCATGGGGCCGGCCCATATAAATAGTGTTTCAATGCCTATCCTTTACATACCTCTTTTGGCATGTGGAGTAAATCTACAGTGTAAATTAGTGGAAGTAGGAATGCTGGGTTAAAGCATATGTAATTTTCCTAGACACTGCCAAGTTGTCCTCCATAGAGGCTGTGCCATTTACATGTCTACCAGCAGTGTGTCAAGGGCTAGCTCTTTTTTTTTTTTTTTAAAGATGACTGGTAAGGGGATCTCAACCCTTGACTTGGTGGTGTCAGCACCACGCTCAGCTAGTGAGCCACGGGCTGGCCCTGTGGGCTAGCTCTTTTTTAATGAAGCATTTCTTTGCATAATTGAAGAATGGCTATACACATTTATACACATTTTTAAAAATTTCACATTATCTCCAAAGTATTTCTCACATCAAAACTATTCATAAACAAAAAAATCCTTTAAAATTATATGTCCATTTTGAAAGATGACGTTGCTAGTTAGTAAGTTAGTATTTACCTTGTGGATACATATCCTTCAATATATATACACTTACATACTCATGTGTATATTTGTGTACGTATATGTATATTTGTGTATGTATATTCATTTAACAAAAATGGGATTGTACTATTCCTAACCTGTTTTTAAAATCTTAGTATATTGTGAACATTTTTCCCTGTTACAAAATATGATTACATCACTGGATTTTTTTCCAGTTTTGCTATATTAGAAATAATACTATGATGATCTTTGTGTATAGAATTTTGATTTTCTAAATATTTCCTTCGGTCATAGGGTATGTATATTATGGGCTGGCCAGTTAGCTCAGTTGTTTAGAGTGTGGTGTTATACAGTGGTTAAGATCACTGCATCAGCGAGCAGCCAAAAAGAAAAAGAGTATGTATATTTTAAAAGCTCTTAATACATATTGAGATCGCTGTCCAGAAAGGCTGGGTGTCTGTCTTCCTAGTAGCAGGACAGAAGTCAGTCTGTTCTGCCACACTCTAGCCAGTGTTAGTGGCATGCTTTCACAGTGGTCACACTTTCATGTGAAGGCTATTAGGAGCTACTGACAATTTTTAAGTAGGCAAATCACACAGCCAGATTTGCATTTTCGATTCCAACTTCAGGGCCGAATAGCTGTCAACCTCACATAGCCCCTAGGAGGAATTCAAGATAATGGTGACACTGAGCAAAGTGGCCCAGTTTTGGGTGGAGAGACTAAACAAGTATGGGTCTGACTTGCTTGGAGAAAACAATTCAGGGTCTCATCTGACAGGCAGAGGGAACAGTCATTGGGCAGTGTGTCCCGACATCATTTTAGGACTTTCAGATATGCTAGTCCCTTTGCTTAATGCCTAGTTAACTCTTTAGGTCTCGGAAGACAGCAGCAGCTAACGTTTCTTTGCTATGCACCTTCATGTGTCATCTTATTCAGTTCTCAGAGGCTGGGGCCATTATTATCTCCCACTTTACAGATTAAAGCATTGAGGCAGAGAAAGTGCACCTTGCCTAAGGTTACACTACTGTCACTCTGGCTTCAAATGAGGTGACCAGCCTGTGCTCTCCACCACTGAGCTTCCCTATCTCAGGCCACTTCCCTGGACCACCAGCTGCACTCTGGGAGTAGCTTCCAAGTCAGACCTCCCAGAGAGCTGTTGTTTGTAGGACAATTTGAAGACATCAGGTTCTTGAGTGTTTAAAAAATAAGTTCCAGATCTATTTCCTACTTTTCTCAAAAGACTGAGAGCTGAGATATTCGACGGTAAGCTTCTTGAGGGCAGGGCCCATGTAATTATCTCTGTATAAGACAGTGCCTTGGACCACAGTGATTGGCACTTGGGTGCTCCAGTCAATGACTGTGGTATTAAATAGAGCACGTTTTCCCTAGATTCAAGTTCTGATAAATAGGCCACAAAGAAAAATCAAAAGAATTATGCTGAACTAATTCATTGCATTGTGTCTATGTGTTTTTGGTGAGCCCATTTTGGAAACAATGTAAAAATATGGCATTGCATCTGTAAGATGTTTTCAGAGCATTTTTATATTCATTTTTGTAAACAGCAACCTGCCCAGGCTCTGTGCTAGGTGTTTGACATACACTGTATCATTTTGCAAATTGTTTTTCATAAGAACTTGAGCCACTAGTAGGGTGGCTATTATTATCCTTGGGTTGGTTTATTTTTGTTTGTTATGTTTTTTCCCCAGGGGAAGAAGCTGAAGTTTAGACTGCCTGTGGGCAAACAGGGCTGCCCTTTCACAGAGGGTGCTCTAGCCAGGATCTCCTTTGGCTCAGGGAGATATGCCAGCTTCAGGCCAGGCCCCCAGCATCCTGGATCTGAACACTCTTCAAGGCTTCAGAGGAAGTGCAGCGAGTTGATTCTCATGTACCGGGAGAAGACAACGTAGAGGCGGCGGAACCAGAGGAGCTGACTGCGGTGGCAGGACATGGCTCTCTGGAGGAATCAAAGAGGATCATCACGACCTGCACTGGAGCTGCTTCCGTTACTTTCAGATCTGGCCTCCTCACCTTAAATCCTTCCCCACTCTAATACATTCATGCTACAACCTGTCTGGCTTCTTCCTGTGACCCACAATCCACTCTGGATTGGCCTCCCCTTTCCCACCCACTTCCTACTCCCCTTTGATCACAGCAGATGATGCTAATGGTAACTAGAGCACTCACTATGGGATACCAGGAAACTGCAGAACAGCACACAGATGGCCCCTGATGCGTCGATGGTTCGACTTACTATTTTTCTGTGGTGTGAAAGAGAGAGGCATTCACTAGAAACCAAACTTCAAGTAGCCTTACAACCATTCTGTTTTTCACTTTCAGTAAGTATTAAATAAATTACAAAAGATGGTCTTTGTGTTAGATGGTTTTGCCCAACTGTAGGCTAATGTAAGTGTTCTGAGCACGTTTAAGGTGGGCTAGGCTAAGCTATGATGTGTGCTACGTTAGGTTTATTGAATGCATTTTCAACTTACGATATCTCCAACTCACGTTGGGGTTAAAGGATGTAAGCCCATCGTAAGTCAAGGAGCCCCTGTACATTGTGAGTTAGGTACTATTATTATTGCTTTAAAAAAAAAATCAATGAGGAAACTCATCAATCTCGGAGAGCTGGCAGGTAGTGGAGCTGAGATTTGAACCCAGGGCCATCTGATTGACTCTAGAGTCCACATGCTTAATCACTTGGCTCCACTACCTCACACAGACATATAAACAGGGATCTTTTGTGGGAAGCAAGCTAGAATACCATGCCCAAATTCCTCTGACTTAGGTAAACTGGGAAGGTTCAATCACTATTAGAAGAAGAAGGAAAAAAGGAATGGTGCACAGCTGCGGGTTGTCCTTCCCATCTAGTGGGAAAATGTCTATTATCTTGTTATTCAGATTTAGTATAGTTCAGTTTTTAAGCAGAATAGATCACAGCAACTGATGTAACTAGATGTAACATATGTAAAAAGTTGCTGCCTGTTTTTCTCTACTACCATAATTAAACTGCCTCTCTAAGCTAATAGGATTGCAAACCTTTATGTTAAGAACTCATTTTATATTCATTGTCAGAACATATATGGCCTTAGATAACATACGAACATATATAGCTTTTTCATGTTCTTTGATTTTTTGTGTGTGTGTGTAAAAACTGTACCATGCTATATTACTCTGTAATGTGTTTGCTTTCACTTAATGTATTAATGTATGAACATAAGTACAATTTCTGAGAATGTCTGACATTTATTATCACGTTGCTTCCCAGAAAGGCTGTAGCAATTTGCACACCTATTTCATTTAAAACTTCAACAGAGAGTTCTATCACTTGATCCTTTCCACTTAGCAAAAACCATGCAGATACTAACCCAAAGAAAGTTAATATGGTAATTTTTTTTTATTTTGTCCTTTTTGAGACCAGCCGCACTGCACTCAGCCAGTGAGCGCTGTGAGCGCACCGGTCATCCCTATATAGGATCCGAACCCACAGCGGGAGCGCTGCTGCGCTCCCAGCGCCGCACTCTCCCGAGTGCACCTCGGGCTCAGCCTTAATATGGTAATATTAATATTAAAATAGAATGTAAGGGAAAAGCTATTAATAAAAGACATTTTAGGATAATAAAAGGAATAATCTGCTAAGAAGATACAGCAGCTTTGATCTGTGCACCTAAAAACATAAAAAGCAAAAATTGACAAATGAACAAATCTAGATTCATGATGAGAGATATTTACATACTTGTATCAGAAAGAAACAAATCAAAAAGTAAAATTGGCAAGGATACATAGTTTTGACCAACATAAATACCAAGCTTGATCTATTAGTCATATCTAGAACCCCGAATGCAACAAGTAGGGAATATGTGTTCTTTTTAGGTACACATGTTAACATTTACAAAAACTGATCATAAAGTAAGTCACTAAGGAAATCTCAATACATTTTAAAAAATCAGTATTATACAAACCACATTCACTGACCTCAAAGCAATTAAATTATAAATCAACAATAAAGACACTACATATATAAGGGAGTACTTTAAAAAAAGATCATGGGGGCTGGCCCCGTGGTGTGCTCGGGCGAGTGTGGTGCTGGGAGCGCAGCGACGCTCCCGCCGCGGGTTTGGATCCTATATAGGGATGGCCGGGGCGCTCGCTGGCTGAGCGTGGTGCGGGCGACACCACACCAAGGGTTGCGATCCCCTTACCGGTCATGAAAAAGACACACACACACACACACACATACAAAAAAAAAAAGATCATGGAAAGATTTATTTTATCTTTTAATTCTCTTTTTCCATGAATTTTTTGAAGTACCCTCATACATGCACACTCGATTCCCATTATTTCCACTACTTATGTTCTGTAAAGTCACTGAGAACACTGAATTAGTGAATACTGAACCATTGCTCCGAGGGGAAATAAAGGGTTAGTTTCTTGCAAGCCTCTAGTCACATTTTCATCAATTCATCAACACATAACCTCTTTTTATGTGTGTTTCTGCTTAATGATATCTTACTAAATACATATCGTTGATTCATTAGCAATGAACTCATGGCCAACCAAAATGAAATGCATGTTTGTATGAAGCTTATCTAATGCAGGTATTTTCTTCATAAGGCACATTGTAGCTTCTTGTGCTTAGGACACTAGACAGCTTCAGCACCACACTTCAGCCGTTTTAAGCAGCACAATCAACAAAAAGCATAAAATGAGAAGAATGTGGTGTTAAATATACCATGAAAGGGACACTTGTTTACAGTATGAGAGTGAAGCAAGAAGGCAGAGCATCACTGTGCTCAACCTCAGGTGGGAACATGCGTGTGCACATTAGGCGATTCAAATCTTTCATAGCTCTGTGAACGCACCTGTCTGTGAATAACCACAAGAGCACCGCTAGTATTGATTCTGGAGTTACAAATGAATTTTTGCAAGTAGGTGTATTCACAAATATGAAACTGAATAATGAGGATTGCCACCTGTTTGTAAACTCTAAAATGCACCCTAAAAAACTCATGCATTAAGGAAGAATTCACAATGGAAACTATAAATTACTTCTAACTAAATGACAATAGGACTACTACATATCAAAACTTGTCAGGTGCAGTTAAAGAGATATTTCAAAGGAAATTAATAGTATTAAAGTGTATTTTTTTAAAGATTGAAAATGAAAAAATGTTAACCTTTCAAGTTCAAGAGATTTAAAAAAGAAAAGAATAAAACAAAGTAGGACAAGAATAATAAGAAAAATGAGGGGGTTGGTGGGTTTGCTCAGTTAGAGCATGGTGGTGTAACACCAAGGTCAAGGGTTCAGATCCCTGTACTGGCCAGCTGCCAAAAAAAAAAAAAAAAAAAAAAAGAGCAAAGTTTAATGAACTATTAAAGAAACAAAACAGAATTAATGTTTCTCAACACTGTGCTCTTAGCATCTAGCAAAGTGCCTCTTAATAGGAGGTATGTTTATTGTGGAAAACTCAGAATATAAAGCTAAGCAAAAAAAAAAGATCTTGAAATTTTTTTTTTTTAAAGATGACTAGTAAGGGGATCTTAACCCCTGACTTGGTGTTGTCAGCACCACACTCTCCCAAGTGAGCTAACCGGCCATCCCCATATAGGGATCCGAACCCGTGGTCTTGGTGTTACCAGCACCACACTCTCCCGAGTGAGCCACAGGCCGGCTCTAAGATCTTGAATTTCTAACAAAACAGTTCTCTCCAGCTTTCACTCACTGCTACTCTTCTCTCTGTGGTGAACATAAGTCTACTGGGAGTTGCACCTGGAGACAAACAGGAGCAATTCTCTTCAACCTGCCCTCCCCAAGTCCAGTGGTACTCAGGGTCCCCTACCCCACCGACAGCTGAGAGATTTCATTAGCAGGGCCTCCCTGGGCCTAGCTCTTCCTCAACAGGCAAGCGGGCTTCTGGCTGTCTGCCCCACTGGCTCTTACAGAGGCTTCTAGTAGGTCTGAATTCCTCTTAGACTCAAGCTGGGAGCACTGCTCCAGGTATAATAGTGAAAATCTGGTAAATCAAAATGTCCAACAATAAGGGATTTTGTGATACGTTTTATACCCATACAATGGAATAATAGGCAGCCTTTACAATTTGAATACTTAATGACACAGGAAAAATGTTCATAATATATTGTTAAAGCATAATATATAAAATGTTCATAATATAAATGTTCACAATATATTTTAAATAGTAGGCATTCTGTGATCCCATTTAAATATATATATATATATATATATATATATACATATATATATATATATATATATATATATATACATATATAGTTATGTGCCACATAATGACATTTCAGTCAACCACTGATTGGATATATTCCAGTGGTCAGAGCAATAGGCTATACCAATATAGCCTGGGTGTATTGTAGGCTGTACCATCGAGGTCTGGGTAAGTGCACTCTGTGAAGTTCACAGAATGATGAAATTGCCTAAGGACGCATTTCTCAGAACGTACCCTCTTCGTTAAGTGATGCATGACTGTGTGTATGTATGTACATATATGTGTCTATATATATGTATTTACATGAAAGAGAGTACTTCAAAGGTACTCGTGAGGGTACTTCAAAAAGTTTATGGAAAAACAGAATTAAAAGGTAATACAGGACTGGCTGGTTAGCTCACCTAGAGTGTGGTGCTGGTCAAGGGTTCAGATCCCTTTATTGGCCAGCTACCAAAAATTTAAAAAAAAGATAATACATCCACTTGGGTAAATGTGTCTCAAGATTTTAACCAATTTACTTGTAATGATATTTACATTTGCCAGACTACCAAAGAACAGGCTTATGTTGCAAGTGGTCACTGATCATTCTGCAAACCTAGATCTGTAAGCCAGTGGAGCTCTCCTAGGAGTGGCGAGGAAAAAGAATCCAAGCTGCGATTTCAGCTCACTCAGCAAATACTCTTGAATCTGTGCTGGCTTGCTAGTCAGTGGGACTGAGCAGTAAATGGGCAGAGGACAAACATCCTGCCTTCACGAAGCCTATGCTGATGGAACGAAAGAGTGTATATACTTAAAAGAAAAAATAAAATTAAAACTTGAGATAAGAGAATAAACATTCTCTTTCATGTCAAAAGACCCCATGTTGCAATGGGACTAAAATCATATGAAACTCAAAAAAAAAAAGATAATATAAAATTTTCCCTTAATTTTTTTTTTTTTTGTCCTTTTTGAGACTGGCCGCACTGCACTCAGCCAGTGAGCGCTGTGAGCGCACCGATCATCCCTATATAGGATCCGAACCCGCGGCGGGAGCGCTGCTGTGCTCCCAGCGCCGCACTCTCGCAAGTGTGCACGGGCTCGGCCCTTCCCTTAATTTTTTGAAGTACCCTCCTGTATATATTAGAAGGATGTAGCCCAACACGTCAACATGACTACTTCTGAGAAGTGGAATTGTAAATAATTATTATTTATTATTTTTATTTTCTTCTTGATACTTTTTATATATTTCTAGATATTCTACAATGAACATATGTTATTCACTTTTTTTTTTTTTTTAGCATGTATTATTTTTAGAATTGGAAAAAAAGGTGAAAGTCAATGAAAACCTATGCCTCCCAAGGTCTAGCTGGCGTAGTCCTAACACTCAGGGACAGATGCTGCACTACTGTGGAAGGTCTTTGGTCAGGACCTCTGCAGAGATGGGTTTGGAGGAGCCAGGGGTCTGGGGCACAGATCTGAGTCAGGGAGTCCAAGAATTCGCAATCCTCACCTTGGCCTGAGCCACTTCTTCGCTGGTGAGCACGAAGAGAACGTCGTGGATATGAAGCAGAGACAAGGGCAGATCCAGAAGGGAGATATACTTGCGCAGCACATTCACAGACTCAAGTGTGAGCACAGAACACCCTGATGGGGAGAAGTAAAGAGCCTCATTGCTCCCAGCCAGGTTTTCCCAAGCACCCTCCTGCTCCCCAGCCCATGGCTGCAGAGTTGCCAGCTGTCTCTGTGGAACCAGAGCTCCTCTTTGCATTGTCACAGACAGGAAGAGTGAAAGGGCCACAGAAGACCTGACTGGCTACCCTCTGCCCCTCTACGTGCCTAGCAAGGAAAGGTTGATTGCTAGAGGTTGAGATCCGGCTACTTCAAGGCCAAGGGAAAGGTGATGGAGAAAGGAATTTCTGTTCTAGGAGGCCAGAGACCTCTGTCAGCCAAGAGCGGACAGACTTGGGAAGAGTCCTTTAACCACTCTGAGTCTCGGTTTTCTCATCTATAAAACGGGGTTGATAGTGTGGGACCCGCCTGTCTCACAGAGTTGGTATTAGAATCAAATGTCCTATAGTCATCTTCCAGAGACTTCACAGCTTGGCAAGCTCAGTAAGCCCATGCAGAAAGGGTGTGCACTGCTTATGTCTTCATTCACTGAACCTTCACACGGCTCCTGTGAGGTATGACAGACCAGAAACTGGCTTAGAGAGTTAAGCACGGGTAACATGTAGTAAATGGCCATGTGGGGTCAAATACCATCCTGTGAGTTAGGGAGTTCCTGACTCAAGCAGATTGGTCCATCGAGCACCCATCCGTCATTTACCACCTGGATGATTAATTGGGGGATGGGATGTGAGTTGGATGGACAGACTGAAAGAATACCAGAGGTGGAAAAGACCTACTCAGTGAGAAAGCCAGACAGGTGAGGGGCAAGGCCCACCTCCCCTCACATCCAGAGATACTTGCTGATGGACACAACCTGATGGGCACACTGAGGTGAGGCCCAGCCTCCCTGACCCTGCCTCTGCTCAGTCTGGGGCAGTTCTCTGTGTATTTGCAACTTTCTCTCTAATAAGTTTCTTAGACGGATAGCTAGTAGCAGCCTTTTGCAGAAGGGCCAGGCCTTACCTTTAGGTAACTTCCCTTCCAAGCGGAGGGCCCTGCAGGAGGGAAAGGACAAGCATGAGAGGCTAAGAATGGCCTATTCCTTTTCACTTCACAGGAGGGGCCTTCAAAGGAGGGCCTGCTGTGTGTATGGTCCCGTCCACACAGGCGTCTAGGCAGTTTCTTTTGTATAAATCACCATATAGATTTCTGGGATTCCATGCCTCTGGCTACAGCTGAAGGGACCAGGGTGGGCACCTTACCCAAGGACAGCAAGTCCAGAGGCTGGTCTGTGGCTCACGAGGCACCCTGATCCAAGCTTTGCTCATGAGAGATGAAGGCGATTATCTTGGACTCCTCAAAGTTTTTCTCTTGAAAGTGCAATGTGAGTATGATGGGAGAACATTTTAAATATTAATTGATATTTCTTCCCTGACCTGCCCCACCTGCACCTTCTGACAGTGAAGGCCATTCTGTGCTCACCACCTTAACAGGAGGGATGAGGCGAGTCCAATGACAAAGAGCTCTGAATCTCTTCCCTCTTAGTGGTTTTGAAAGTTGAGGGGGCGGCTGGCTGGCTCAGCTCAGATGGTTATAACTCTAAGGTCGTGGGTTCGAATCCCCTTACTAGCCAGCTACCAAAAAATGAAAAAAGCTTGGTGACGAAGAAGAATGGGGTAAGTACCCCCTCTACTCCCCAACACACAGACACAGATACTAATGAACAGGGACTCTTGGGGAGCAGAGGTTAAAAAAGTTGGGAGAGAATCAATAAATTTATGTAACTGACTCCCTAGCAGGCCGTGAGAAGTAGAAAAGCCTGAAAAAGATTTCTGGGACATTCTGAGTTTCAGGTCCTTGGGACATCCAAGGAAAGAGGTGAGCACTGGAGGCACACACCTGGAAACCGCACTTACAGCTGTTAAAGCAACAGAGGAATCTTTACTGAGAAGACCTGGGGAGGGAGCCCTGGGAACAGAGGCACCAGAGGCCTCTTGTGGGAGGGACACCAGGAAGAGACTGAGAAGTGATCAGAGAGGCCAGAGGAAGGAGGACACGCAAATCAAAGCAGCATTTCAATGAGTGACGGGCAGGGCCAAATGCCATCGAAAGGCAGAGCCTGATGAGGACCAAAACGAGCCTCATGAGCTAAGCAGGTGGGAGGAACTGTTCTAGCAGATGGGTGGGTGGGTGGCACATCAACATTGATTATTTTATCTGAAGCACAGTGGCCTTCGTTAGTGCACAGAGAGGACCTGGAAGTGTTAAGAGCTGGTGGCACTCCAGCCACTGCTGAGGACAGTAGTCCTGCACAGTTCTGTCTGCATAAAGTTGTCCCCCTGGGTTCCCATCCCTGCTTTCCCCGCCTCAGTGGTGACTGGACTAGGGAGGGGACCAGCAAAATCAGCTTCAAGTGCCCTGGCAACCTGCCTGTTGCGGTGCTCTTGGTTTGATCTGACCCTTTCAGCAGTGTAAATACTCGGTGAAAACCCCCAGGCGCAGTGTGCATCCAGAATGGAGGGGAGCAACAGTGGTTGCAGGTGTCCTGTGGGCTTGTGGTCCACGCCAGTCTTGGAAGCCCAAGGCCTCAGAGTACCCACATGGTCAGAAAGACCACTCCTGCCTCACTTTCCACGTGTTTTCACAAAACATTGCATCTCTGACTGTAACAGGGGGAAGTGTCTTCAGAGAATCTGAAGGGACCTAATGCAACTAGTAACGTGTCTCCTCTACAATGTCTCCTCTGGCTGGGCCTTTCCTCACTCCACAGCCAACGAAACAGGGAGAGCTGTCTGGAAGGAAGGAGTGCGTGGGTAATAATTTCTAGCATCTGTCACTAAGTGATATACATTCAGGGAGAGGCGGGCGAGTCCTGAGGTTGCATTGGCCTTCACATGTATCAAATAAAGAAGGCAGAACCAGGATCCCTGGATTCTGGTTCTGCCTCTGCCATTGTTTAGACTCGTAGTGCTGGGCAAAGCACTTCACTGCCTCAGTAAAATGAGATGGTTGGACTTAATAATCAGCGAGGTCATTTCCCACTTCACATATTTCCCTCCTCCAGCCTGAGAAGGTGCATGTTTTGGAAGGTTATAAAATAAGTCCTTCACTTCAAGTTGCCCCTTTCTTTCCTCAGTAACTAGGAGAGGCCATCACGCTGCTGAGCAGGGCCCCGGAGAAGCACTTGGCTAGAGCAGAGGAAACGTGGTCTTGTTTGCATGACCCTAAGTCACTCAATACCTTTGAGGTTCCATTTTGTTTTTATTGGTACAGTGCAGATAAATACCAGTCAACTAGGCTGGCTGTGAAGAACAAAGAGGCCAGGTCGTACATGCGCACCCTCCAAAGAGGAGGGCGGGGACAGTGCACGCGATGGGAGGGCAGGGGACACAGCAGCTCCTGGGACTCAGGCCTTAACGTCTGGTCCACGTGCTGCCAGGGGCTGCAAATTCGACCCTAACGCTTTCGGTGGCCAGAGCAGAGGCAGAAATAAAATCAGTTACTTCATTTTCAATATCCAAGGGGTAAAACAACATTCATCTGTTTAGGAGACGAGCGTTCCTACTAGGGACTGAGAGAGACTTCTCACCGAGAGGACGACATGGTCCCCAGGGCGCTGTGACGGTGCAGCGGTCAGCCTCACGGGGCTCGGAGAACTAGTGGGAAGCAGCTGTGAGACCAGGGACCCAAGCCAGCCAACAAGCCCTGTCCTTCCTCTGTCCCCAGAAGCCTACCTCACGGCCGCGTGCAGAGCGATGTGATTGCTGTGACCACTTACTCCTCCTGCATCGAAGGTCACCACCTGTGGAGAAACACAGGGTCTCACTCACGGCTGCTGGAACGCTTTGTCCAGGCCTCTACCTCAAGGTCGCTGTCTCCACTCTCCTGGGAAGCCAAGGAGAAGGAAAAGAGTGACAGGTTTCCAGTTCTGACCTGACTTCTGAGCAGATTAGCGGTGCGTTCGTTCCTCCTGTTTGGCTGACTGTTTAGACTGTGCCTGCGGGTCTGCTGCTGACTCGTTCCTGGCCAGTGGGGCAGAGTGGAGACCAGCCATGGCAGAAGCGTGGGTTCACAAGATCTTTGCTGCTAATCTGCTTCGCTATTTAGTGGCACATTTAGTTTTCCTGGCTGGCTGCTGTGCGAACTTTGTTCATGTGGATGCTGCCTGATTTATTTGGTCTCTCTTCCTTGTGTCACACCAAGGGCACAAAAACTTTGAGGGACAATGCCCACCATGCCCTGGGTTTGAGTTCACAACAGAAGTGTATTTATTCATAGAGAGCTTCTGTTTCCATGTTCACAGACATATCAACATCTTTTTATTAATTACAAACTCAGTCTATGTTCCAACATTTCATTTCTGCAGAGCTGGATTTAAAAAAGCAAAGGGTGCTGGCCAATTAGCTCAGGTGGTTAATGCACAACTTTATACCACAAAGGTCATGAGTTTGGATCCCTGCATGGGCCAGCTGTCAATAAATAGATAAATAAATGAATAAAACAAAGCATAGTTTGAATAATAATAAAGACAGCTTGAATAATATAAGAAATACAAGCAAGAAAACAAGGACTCAGGAAAGGAATAGGGTGGTGGTTAGGGTGACGGAAAGAGACCAGCTGTCCCCAAGGAAGGAAGGTGGCCATGAAGCCTGGATGAAGGGGCCTGGGAGTAGAATAGGCTGGGAAGGGACTCGCATGTGGTCTTTCTGTTTTAAACTGTGAAACTTGTTGACTTCGTATCCAAGAATTTCCCTTGTTATAAAAGCAGTGAACATTTATTGAACGCAGCACTAGTACCGGCCCCGAGGAAGCTCAAGAAATGCAGGCCGAAGCTCTGGTCGCCTTGCTAGAGTGGTGGAGCCAGTCTAGGGACGTGGCTCTGTCTGACTATGAGGCCACGCTTGTTACCAGGGTCGCCTATGTGAGAAGGTGTGCCAGGCTGCGGGGGGAAGCAGAAGACCTGCACTCTCACTCTGACACTGCTGGCTAGGCACGCGACTAGATAAATTACTTCTGGGTTTGGATGAGCTCGTCTATAAGGAAATATGGTGCTCTGGGCAGTCACTGATGAACCCCTAATTTGAAAGGACAAGAATACAGTTAACTTCACTGCATGGCACTGCACACACACACACACACACGTGCACACACTCACACACTCGAATATTTCAGAAGACATTTCAGGATCCTATAATCATGCCTCAGAATTATCACCATGAACCTCTATTTACCACCACGCTAACCAAGTTAGCAGAAGAGGTGGGTGATGGAAGCATTTTAACAGCAGAATGCTGGAATTCACTGGAGTCTTCTAAGGATTAGTGTCACATTTCTATCCCGACCAGATTACTGTTAATGCTCAGCAGCGGAGTTCAAACAAATACCGATGAAAAGCGAGACTCTTCGTGCTCCCACCACCTCCTGCTTTTCACGCTGCTTTTCTGTTCACTTTATCACTTTACTCTCAGTCCCTGGAAGAAGACAGACCTACGCATCCCTGAGATGCTGAAGTGTTTCTTTCTAAAGGTTGTGGTAATAGTTGTAGTAGAGCTAACTGACATTACTGAGCACTTCATATGTGCCAGGTGCTGGGTTTAAGACTATTGTCACCTTTTTTTTTTTCCTCCTTTTTGTCTTTTTTACTGACCGGTAATGGGATCGCAACCCTCGGTGTTGCACCCGTTGCCGGTCACAACCCTCGGTGTTGCGCCCGCACCGCGCTCAGCCAGTGAGCAAGAACCGGTCTCCACATGGGATCCGAACTCTCAGCGGGAGCGCCGCCGCGCTCCCAAGCGGCGCACTCTCCAGTGCGCCACGGGGCCGGCCCAAGACTATTGTCACCTTTGATGACAGAACTACATGCAGTGCCCAGAGGATATAACATAGGACATGTTTTTAAATGTGGTTTCCTCTAAAGCAGTAAAGGACACGTCTCGCCAACTGTGTTAAGTGTAGTGACTGCATTCACAGGCTGCCCCCCACCCCCACCCCATGCACCAAGGGGGCTAGAACCAGGCGGCTGCAGAGACGAGGCAGGACTCGGAAGGAGTCAGTAGCCTGTCCAGGATGCCCTGGCCTCTGCTGCCCTGGGTCAGGCCCACACCCTCTGGCCTAGTGAACTAACCAACATGGAGAGGGGGAGACAGTGGAAACAACCACAAAACACAACCTCCAGTCATCAGTCACTGAGCATCTTTTGAATCTGGCCATCATGGGATTCGGGATTCTTTGGGAACATTATGAAGAGTCAGCACCAATTCAGGTGAATTCAGGGTAATCTCAAGATGGTCTCTTGGCAACAGAGAGAAGAAGGGTTCTGCCTCAGGAAGGGCCCCTTTGTTAAAGCCAAGTAGTTCTATGACAAGAGTCCTCTCCCCTTCCTTCTGCCACATGCCACTACTGCAGTCTCCATGGGAGCAAGTGCTCTGCACAGGACGGCTTTCCTGGGGCTGGGTGGTCACAGCTGAGCCTTACTCACAGTGACATGTGTTTCCACCTCCCCCAGCCACCTGCTGATCCCTGAACTGTCACTTGAAGAATGTCAATCCTTCAGTGTAAAGCTCAGGTCCCAGTTAAAATGCACTTCATCCTTGTTACGGTTACCAGTGTCTGGCACTTTGGTGTGAATGAGGGCTCTAGGGTAAGATTCCTTGGCAGGCTGAATAACTGTCCCCAAATATGTCCTAATCCCTGGAACCTGTGAATGTTACCTCACATGGAAAAGGACTTGGCAAATGTGGCAGTTAGCAGTTGCAGCAGTTTTGTGAGGAGTGCTGTCTGGAGGTCGCTCTGGCTCTTGGAGATGTGGAGGAGCCAGGCACAGTCCTGGCCTCTACTTACCTCATGGTCTATGTCATGAGACATGGTCCTCACTTCCAAGGATAAATAGCAACACATGCCACACACACAGTACATGCAGAGTTCTGTGGGAATCCCAAAGAGGGCTGAAGAAGTCAGGGAAGGTTCTTGGAGAAGGGGGTCTTGAGGTGGACTTGGACCACAGATCACTTTTCTGGGACCCAATGTGGGAGACTCTTCTAAGACCAAGAATGGTGTGCAGAGCTGTCTGTGCCCTGACACACCCCCGGATGCCCAGGGCCAAAGTCAGCTGTGGTCTGAAAAAGAAACCTGGCCCCTCAACAAGGACCAACTCTGTTCACCAGTGTCTAGCATCAAAGTAAGGGCCAGATCAAAGAGGGCCTTGAGTTCCAAGTTTAAAAAGATGAGAGTTTATCCTACAAGCAGGAAACTGGGAAGACCAGAAGTTCTTATGCACTGAAGTAGGGGAGGAGACACAGTATGTGCGGACTGCTTCCAGGGAAGCCACTACAGTGAGAAAAACAGGGTGCCAAGGTGTACTGCAGGCTGACCCTGAAGACCAGCTCTGCCCACATATTTAGGCTGTGGAGCTCTGGAAGCTGTGACTGTAGGCTGGGACAGGATAGGGAAGAGAACTAAGGTTAGCCCCAATCAGCAGGGCTGGGCATTGACTCCTGAGCCTGGGGTTCCAACCCTACTTTCGTGCCAGACCTTCTGAGAAGGGAACACGGGGAGTGCAGGCCTCCAAACTCCTGTTTCTTTTTCAGCCAGGAAAAGGAATGAAGCCAACACACAGAGCAGGATCAAGGAGAAGAGCCCACCTGTATCTCAGCCTCTACGATTCACAGTGAGCCAGGCACGTGCTCCTTCTTGCCTGCGTGTACTAAGTTCAGATGTATTTCCGTCATTAGAAAACACAATGGTCTGACTGCTATATCGATGAAAATCTGCTCTTAAGAAAGGTCGAATAAATGAATTCACCCAGTGAATTCACCAGTGATAAAAGCCTAAATGTTTCTCTGCCAGCGGGATTTCTGTTTTAATGAGAGTTAATCAGAACTTAAACCAAATGAGTGGGGCTTTAAATGGTGGAATTTTAGGCATTAACTCATGAAGGATTATTATTATTATTATTATTATTTATTATTTATTTTTTTAGAGGTAGGCAGCCTTCTTGACAGCTTTAAAATTGATGCTGGGCTAAGCCCACTCCTGCCGTGACCCTAGAAGAGCTGAGGCTGGTGTCACTAGGCTTGTCCACCTGGGCAGGGAAGTGTGAATCTCCACTATTGCTATAATGGTGACTGAAATGTCCTTCCTGTGGTGGGCATGAATTTATCCTCATGTGTTGTTGGAGTGACAAACAGTCTTAAAATCTTAGCTTTACCACTTGCCTACTGTGGGCAGCTGCTCTGCCTCTGAAAACCTCAATATCCTCAACATAAAATGAGAATTGCAACAACATGACCTATACAGTTAAAATGATCCTCTAAAGTGAAAACGCTTGGGGCCGGCCCGTGGCTCACTCGGGAGAGCGTGGTGCTGATAACACCGAGTCAAGGGTTAAGATCCCCTTACCGGTCATCCTTAAAAAAAAAAAGAATAAAGTGAAAATGCTTGGTAACAGGTGAAGCTGTGTACAAACCAGAGTCACAGCACAGGCTCCTGGGACTTGAGTTTTTAGATGGCAGGCTGAGGTGGGAGTTGTGGTGGGGGGTGGTTAAAGAGGACTCGGTTTGGAAAAAACCTCTGCCTCTACCTGAGCACTGATAATTCAGTGACTCAGTCTCACTAAGGATCTAGAAGATATTAAAAAGTGGGTTTGTTCCTGAGTAAGTCTAAGACAGAGCATTAGAGGTTTTGGCCTCTTTGTAGAGTGGCCCTGGAGAAGGACTGGAGGAGGGACGGTGGCCACAGGAAAGGCTGCAGAAGCCACATGGTGTAACCTCCCATGCAGGGAGGCGCCCCTTACCAGGGTGATGCCGTTCACTTCCACGTGCTGGAGGAGGACGCTGGCCACCTGCTCTGTGTCCCACTGAGCTCCGGGGTCATCTGGGAAGTCTCTGCAGGGAGAAGCACAACTTGGACACCTTTCCTAATCAGGCACAAACTTCTCCCTAAGCTCCAGTAGGTGTGTGTCCACTTTTGTGATGAGAATTATAATTGGGGGGTGGGGGGGTCCATACTCTCAAGGTGCTCAGATTTCAGTTAAAGAAATAAGATTTACAACCATGGATCAGCTAGAAATCAATGCACACTTCCACACAACACACTTGGACTTTTGTGCTTTTTGCTGAGGGAAAAGAACAGAGTCAGCAAGACCAGTCTCTCTCCACAAGCTGGATAGACAGATGTGTCAACAATGAACTTGAACCCAAGTGCACTTTGTAAGAGTAACAGTAACAGTGCCTTAATAAAATGTACAAAGGCATGCTACTTCATTTAACCTCATGAACATCTTCTGAAGGAATCTTTACCGATGAAGTTAAGCAGCTGCTTGCAAGGTTGTTAAGAGCTGGATTTGAACTTAGGTTTTCTGACTGCAAAGCCCAGATTTTTAGCGCTAAGAGCCAGCTACACCCCCCTGCCCCATCACAAATGGGGCCTGCCACATCGCAGGAGCAAAGGTCTCTCTCAGAATAATCTGCAACTTTTCAGTTTCTCCACTTGGCCATGCCACACACCTATCTTCTCCTCCCACCTGCTGAAACCCTTCCTGTGCCTTTTCTGTGCATGGATTTATGGTGTCACCTGACATGAGACCAACGCCTCAATTTGACCCCCTTTTTAGAAAATATTGTTCATAATCTCATAAACAGATAACCACTTCTCTTCAGCTCAGGTCCTGCAGCAATACCCATAACGCTACTGGGAGGACATGGCTCTCTTCGTTCCCTGCCAGGCAGGCTGCTGTAACCTCCCTATGGACGAAGGCCATTAACTGATCCTCTTAATACTTTGGTCAAAGGAGAGTCACTGGTGGTTTTCAACAGGAAAATAACATGAACCTCAGCACCAAATGTCATTATTTCTTTTGCTTCATTGGCTACTTCTCCTAATCCCTTAGGGGGTCTCTGTGGAGAGCAGCTTTGTGTCTTTTAGAGCCCTGTCCTGTCAGCCATTCCATGTGGTTCTCATGATGCTCCTGCAGAGAGCAGGATGGACAGCTCAGCAGTGAGGGAAGGACAGGGAGAAAGAGAGAAAGTGGGATCAGTACAAAGTCCAGCCTTGTCCTTGGAAATGGAGCTGCATATGGTAGGTGAAACATGACCTGCTGAGCTTGGATGGCTGAAGGAAAAATAGAGGTACAGGAACCAGGGAAAATACCTTGCAGTGACAATAGCCACATACACACTCCTGGCTGGGAGGGCCACATACACATATCAAGGCATCATTTGGGAAACTGAACACACCGGTAATATTCACATGGACCTTCAGCACACAGATGGAGAAGCAATCTTAGAGAAAGGGTTGGAGGGTAGCTGGCTAAGCCTACTAATACTTGGTTCTCAACTGCGGCTGAAAGATGAGTCCTGGAGTGGGAAGCTCATGCCTTCCTTCCATCTGTCTTCTGAGACCGGGATCTGCTATGAGAGGGAAGCTCCCTTGGAGCCAGCTTCACTGGAGAAGGCGTTGCTCCACCCCTTTATTTAGGGGCTCCACGCCCTGATCATGGGTGAAGCAGCCAATCATTTGGGGGACTTCGGACTGTAAGTTATCAGCTCTGTGGTGTGATACATCTGATTTGGCAACACTGCTTTTGTGATCAAGTCCAAACTCCCCTCGGTCCGGCATTCAGGTTTTCCCTGATCTATCTCCTATTTTGATCCTCGTCACTTCTTTTTATTTGAGAAAGCAAATGAGTTAACACATGTGAGAAAGCATTTAAAAACTGTAAAGAGTTATGCAAATGTCAAAATAGTGGATGTTATTGCTGCACTAGCCTAATTTAAGATTCTTTAAAAAAAGGAAAGGGGCCGGCCCGGTGGCGCACTGCTACAGTGCGCCGCTTGGGAGCGAGGCGGCGCTCCCGCCAAGGGTTCGGATCCCACATACAGACCGGTTCCCGCTCACTGGCTGAGCGAGGTGCGGGTGCGACGCGGAGGGTTGCAATCCCGTTGCCGGTCCTGGTCCGGTACGGGCGCAACACTGAGGGTTGCAATCCGTTGCCGGACACGAAAAAAGACAAAAACGAAAAAATAAATAAATAAATAAATAAATAAATAAATAAAAAAAGGAAAGAAAGAACTCCCTGGCCCTTCTTTCTTGCTCTGGAAGTCCCTTGCAGAGCTCTCTGCGGACCTCCTATACCAGTGGTCAATGGTTTCAAAGTGGGGTGTGGGCATCCCAGGGGGTGTGTAAGATGATCCACTGGGGTAAAGTAAGAAATACTAGAATTTCTATTTACACGTTTTCTGTTTAAATTTCTATTCGGGGGGGTGGGGAGTTAGCTCAGTTGGTTAGAGAGTGTAGTGTTATAGCACCAAGGTCAAGGGCTCAGATCCCTGCACCAACTAGCTGCCAAAAAAAAAAAAAAAGTAAATAAGTAAATATTTTGTAGCTATTTTATAAGGTATCATATACTTGTACTAACAGAGTTTAACAGAAATAAATTTTTAAAAAATAAGCCCACAAGTTTGGAGGTGCATACTCAAATTTTGTTTCCTGCCATCAGGGGAGCATGATAAAAAACGTCTGGAGATCACTGGTCTAATCTACTCACTCTGCATTTTACTTTTTTTCCTGGATATTTTAAAAACAATTTTATTGGGCTGCCCAGTGGTGCACTCGGTAGAGTGCGGTGCTTGGGAGCACGGTGGCGCTCCCGCCGAGGGTTCGGATCCCATATAGAGACCGGTCCACTCACTGGTTGAGCGCGGTGCGGACGCGACACCGAGGGTTGCGATCCCGTTACCGGTCACGAAAAAAAGACAAAAAGGAAAAAAAAAAACAATTTTATTGAGGTGTAATTTAAATAATACAGCCTCACCCACTTAAAATGTACAATTTAGGGGCTGGCCAGTTAGCTCACTTGCTTAGAGCGCAGCCTCGTAATACCAAGGTCAAGGGTTTGGATCCCCATACCAGTCAGCCACCAAAATATAAATATATAAATAAATAAATAAAATAAAATGTACAATTTAGTGATTTTTATTATTTTTATTTTTATTGTTTTGGCAGTTGGCTGGTATGGGGATGTTATAACACTGCACTCTAACGATGTGAGATAACCGGCCAGCTTAATTTATTGATTTTTTTTTGTCTTTTTCCGTGTCCGGCAACAGATCGCAACCCTCAGTGTCGCCCCCGCACCGGACCGGGACCGGCGTTGAGCCACTGGTGGAGATGCCGCCTTCTAGTCTTCTGTCATCGCCAGCTACTGGTCAAAAGCCAAGGGAGCTTGGAAACCGCAGTTTCCGTTGATCAGAGCAAAGGGATGAGATACTGGCAATGTCTTGCTGACTGCAAATGCTCAATGGGCATTTACTTTCAACTGCTGCTCAATCTTGGCCCTAAAACTCAAAAGGACAGCAGCAGTCTGGCCAACCGCCTCACTGTCTAAGGAGCTCAGTTCTCCAGGCCTACGGAAACGTTACTACATTCCTGCCCTCTGGGTGCCTGGGTCTAGAGGGCAGCTGGGAGCACCTCAGGGAAGAACATGGGGCCACAGCAGGGCAAGCAAGAGTCACGGCTCAGAGAAGGGAGACANAAAAAAAAAACAATTTTATTGAGGTGTAATTTAAATAATACAGCCTCACCCACTTAAAATGTACAATTTAGGGGCTGGCCAGTTAGCTCACTTGCTTAGAGCGCAGCCTCGTAATACCAAGGTCAAGGGTTTGGATCCCCATACCAGTCAGCCACCAAAATATAAATATATAAATAAATAAATAAAATAAAATGTACAATTTAGTGATTTTTATTATTTTTATTTTTATTGTTTTGGCAGTTGGCTGGTATGGGGATGTTATAACACTGCACTCTAACGATGTGAGATAACCGGCCAGCTTAATTTATTGATTTTTTTTTGTCTTTTTCCGTGTCCGGCAACAGATCGCAACCCTCAGTGTCGCCCCCGCACCGGACCGGGACCGGCTACGGGATCACAACCCTCGGTGCTGCTCCCGCGCCTCGCTCAGCCAGTGAGCGGGAACCGGTCTGTATGTGGGATCCGAACCCTCGGCGGGAGCGCTGCCGCACTTCCCAAGCGGCGCACTATCGCAGTGCGCCACCGGGCCGGCCCCTTAATTTATTGATTTTTAATAAATGTATGGAATTTCTACATTTTATTGTACTAGTGTTCTGCATGTATTTAATTCTTGACTGTCCAACCCATCATAAGTTCCCTGACAGATGTTACATTAGTCATTTATTAGTAAGGTCCCTCCAGGAAAATGAACCATGAGGTATTTCGGAGAGAATTGTTTACCCTCGATGGAAGAGCTGAGAGGCCAAACAGTGAACAATGAAACAGCCCAGAGACTTGCAATAGCAGGAGGCCACTACCACCTGTGGGGTGGGACACCAGAGCCATGGAATGGGAATGCTGGTGAGAACTAGGATGGCAGGAGCTAGAGTCAGGGAAAACGTTGAGCCACTGGTGGAGATGCCGCCTTCTAGTCTTCTGTCATCGCCAGCTACTGGTCAAAAGCCAAGGGAGCTTGGAAACCGCAGTTTCCGTTGATCAGAGCAAAGGGATGAGATACTGGCAATGTCTTGCTGACTGCAAATGCTCAATGGGCATTTACTTTCAACTGCTGCTCAATCTTGGCCCTAAAACTCAAAAGGACAGCAGCAGTCTGGCCAACCGCCTCACTGTCTAAGGAGCTCAGTTCTCCAGGCCTACGGAAACGTTACTACATTCCTGCCCACTGGGTGCCTTACTGCATTCCTGCCCTCTGGGTGCCTGGGTCTAGAGGGCAGCTGGGAGCACCGCAGGGAAGAACATGGGGCCACAGCAGGGCAAGCAAGAGTCACGGCTCAGAGAAGGGAGACACGGCAGGGTGAATGCGCAGCCCTACTCTAGGACAGAGTGCACGTCATTAGGAGGCAATGGATGTGG